TGGCCATACTGCTAGAAGCAAGGACGCTACTAGTAGCTCCTGGCCATACTACTAGAAGCAAGGATGCTACTAGTACTAGAAGCAAGGATGCTACTAGGGGCTCCTGGCCATACTACTAGAAGCAAGGACGCTACTAGGGGCTCCGAAGCAAGGACGCTACTAGGGGCCATACTACTAGTAACAAGAAGCTACTAGTAACAAGTCCAGATCAGTTGGGATCCCTCCACTTCAGGCGTTGAGGTGTTTCAATGAAAGCCATGAGGGAGTTGCGAGCAATCTTGCACACAAGAAAGCTCTCCGACCTAGAACATGTAATTGTTCTTTGGCTCGTAGCAAGGACGCATGGATCTTCGCTTAGTCGAAACTGTCCCTGCATTGTTACAAAAGCAAAATGAATAAGTCTAGATGTTTTTCCTTTACTTCCTATCTTTTCCTTTCCTTCCTTTCCTCCTTGCCATGTTGTCAAACTGCTTCAAATGACCCCTCCTTTTTATCATTCGGAACCTGGTTGCCTGTTCGCTTGCACTTTGTTCTTCACTTGACACTTGGCTTTAGCTGCGGCAAGATCAATAAGACGACCTGCGAAGTCCAGCTTTCAAGGGCCAAACTGCAAGCTGCACAGAAGTAGACTGGTTCACATGTCCATGTTTCCATGATTTTTAACAAGAGGAACACAAGAAACTACCATTTTCCTCAACAACTCTTAGAGCCAGCCATGGGAAGTGGAGGATCGAGTCAAAGTCGTCAGCCCAAACAGGGTTGCGAGCGGCTGGGAATAACTATCCATCAGCTCCAAGAGGTTGACATTCTCGTGCAGCGCTATCAGAAAGATTGGTCTGAGGCTTCGCTTGGTTGTTCATGTTGGTTCATGTTGTTTCGCTTGTTTTCGCTTTGATTGTCAGAAGTGCCTTGTGCCTTGCTTTGGCAGGTGGTCAACTCTCCCACCGTGCAGCATGTCGTGGACTACTTCATCAAACCAGAGACCAAATCGAAGAAGCAAAGCTATGTCGAAGTGAAGTTTGCAAAAACAATGACTCCACCCACTTGGTTTTCCTGCCATCCTTGGTCAATCAACCACGCCTCGCTAGTGTTGGGTCTGCAGCATTCGGCAGACAGGCATTGTGAGACTAGCTCGACATCCTTTTGGTTAGCGGCCTATTGCTTGTGTCAGCACAAAGTTCCTGCTGCTGACCAGGTTCTTCCTGCGGTCTTCGGTTCTAGGTACCTCTCCGGGATTATAGTGCATGTTGATTCACAGCGCGAGATCTGGAAGAGGATGTGGTGCCTCTCCGAAATGTTGGCCTCTCTCACCCATGACGACCTGAAGATGAGCTTGGTGACGATCGAAGAATCTGAAGCAGGATCCTCAGCGTTTTCGCTGTCAGATCATTTGGTGGGAACTGAGACGGAAGGTGAACGAAGGTCTTGGGATGAACACTTTCCATTGAGTGCTTTTGGGCCACACCAGATAGAGATTCATAGGAGTCGTGCGTCAGACCCGGATGATGAACAAGCGCTTTTGGGTCAGATCATCTCTGCAAGTGGGGAAGCAGCACCAACATCCTCGACCCCGAGAAACCATCAGGCCTACAATTTGGCCAATACAAAGCTGCGAAGCAAGATTGAAGCTGCTGCAATGCGAGTTGCAGTGCTTGTGAAAGACCGCAAGATGGAGGAACATCTCTTGACCCGTGCTGCGAATGAGCCCACGCTGCGGTCTGAGCTCAAACGTGTCCGCGAAGCAACTCAAGGACTCCCAGTGTCACAGGGATCACCGCTAGCACCACCAGCCCCTGACCCAACCGAAGAGCCACAAGCTGCAGACACAGAACCTCCATCTCCTGAACCTGCACCACCGCGCGCCATCGTGCAGGGCACTAGAACTGCCCAAGACTCCAAACGCTTGGGAGCCCGTTTGGAATACTTGTTGAAAGACTTTCCGAGGAGAGCAAAAGAAAGCACAGGCCAAGACGATCCAACTTTTCGCATCATCGATGAGTCATTGGCTCGAGGTCCAACCGGCTTGGGGTACAATCGTCCATGCCCGCGGGATGGGCAACTTCATTGCAGCATGGTAGACGCTTTGCGCAATGAGGACGCACAGAAAGCTACCGTTTTTCTTTCCTGGTGCTGGGACTATCATTTGCAGATGTACGTGAAGACTTGGGAGCAGTGGCTGCAACATCACCCAGATGCAGCTGAAGGCTTTGTGTGGCAATGTTTCTTTTGCAACAATCAATATCGTATGCAAGAAGTAGTGGTGGATGACAGCCTTGGTGAGATTTTTCAAGATCGCTTGCTGGATATTCAACAGATGGTGGTCATGCTGGACAAGTTCATGCAGCCGCAATATTTGGAGCGTGTTTGGTGTGTCTTTGATACTCGTCATTCTAGTCATTTTGTGTTCAGAATCGTTTGCCGAAGGAAAGTAACAGTCTCAAACAAGCTTCGTTGAGTTTGCTTTCGTTTGAGGAGATGTATACCGCGGCAAAGCACCCGGGCAAGGTGACAGTGGATATCATACTGCCACCAGACCAGGCTGCCGACATCCAAAAGAAGGTCGCCTGCGGCGATTTGTGGGAGATTCAATCGCAGTTTCAAGAAGTGAACGTGGAAAATGCCAAGGCCTCCAGACCCGAAGACGAACGCAAGGTCAAAGAGATCATCAAGAGAGATTCAGGTTTTCACGCAGTGAACGAGAAAGTTCGCGACACAATGATGCATTGGGTACTGGGCCAGGTGAGATCAGTCCTGCTTGACCCTAGTGGAACAGCCAAAAGCGCGGCAGATTTCATGGCTGCTGCTGGGCTAGCCAATTGGGTTGGAAAACTCGAGGATGCAGGAATTCAATCCTTTGAAGAGCTGGAGGACTTACAAGATGCAGATTTGGAGGAAATTGGGCTGGACCTGGCTGCCCGCAAACGTTTGCTTGAAGTGCTGGAGATGGGGCCCTCAGCAAAGGCAGAGGTTGACTTCAAGGTCCAGCTGAGGCAGTTGGGCTTAAATACGAGTATATTCGAAGGTCTGTCAGAAGACGAGGCGGGAAGTGGCGAAGCTGCTAAAGGAGCCGCTAGTAGCTTCTAGTAGCGATGCCAGGCTCCTACTGGGGCCTCGCTTTAAATCGTATCAACTGGAGGAAAATCGTATCAAAATGGTGTGTCCTTGGGGATTGGCTTACTCATGGAAGTTTGTTGTTGTTCTATTTGTTCTACGAACTGATGTTAACGTGCTGTGCCCATGCGTTGGTTGCTTGTGTGATAGATTCAACAACCTTGTTGCATCATTGCATCGTGTTTTTCAACAGACAGCATGAGCTATTAGACTTCAAGTATAGGAAGAGCTGCCTGTGTGCGCTGGGGGAGCTTGGGTGCTGGCGCGTTGCAGAGTGCCGCTGCTGCGTGCGCTTGAGAGCTTGGGTGCTGGTGCCGCTGCAGGGTGCTGCTGTGTGCACTTTGGATCAAGGGCATGTGGCCATGTGCGCTGTGGAGCTTGGGTGCTTCTGGGCTTGGCATGTTTGGGCTGGGATGTACTGCCTTGGACCTCGCCTGGACCTCGCCCGGGCCTCGCCTAGAACCACCATATCCTCCTGCTGCTTGCATGCTTGTGTGCTGCTTGTCTGCTGCTGCTTGTCTGCTGCTGCTGCTTTGCTGCTGCTGCTTGGCTGCTGCTTGGCTGCTGCTGCTGGGCTGCTGCTGCTTGGCTGCTGCTGCTGGGCTGCTGCTGCTGGGCTGCTGCTGCTGGGCTGCTGCTGGGCTGCTGCTTGGCTGCTGCTTGGCTGCTGCTGCTTGGCTGCTGCTGGGCTGCTGCTGCTGGGCTGCTGCTGCTTGGCTGCTGCTGCTTGGCTGCTGCTTGGCTGCTGCTGCTGCTGCTGCTTGGCTGCTGCTGCTGCTACTGCCGCGATACAATACCTAAACTTTCTGGCAATCGGTGCGAAAGAGTGTGCGCCTTGTAGGGTGTGACCCTAATGTGACCCGATCGCATCGGGCACCTCCACGCGGATCATTTCCAGTCACCTGATGATGTGACTAAAGTTGACGACAGAAGTTGCATCAGGAGATGAGCAGTTTCTTTGCAATCAGACGTGCGCGTGATGGATGTGACAGTGGGATTCACACAGCAATAACCTGACAAAACATACTCAGTAATAGCAAATTCCACAGTATGGGCAAGGTTTTGAGCAGCTTTCTTCTTTCTAAAGACTTGTTTCCACCTGATGTGACTTCCTTCCAATGCGGTGTACCATGGGGTGATGTGACTTTTCGCCGGCTGATGTGACTTAAACCCTGCGCTTGTAGTAGCTTCTTGTTACTAGTAGTACGAATGTTCCTAGTAGCGATGCCAGGGCGATGCCAGGAGCCCCTAGTAGCGGCCTTGCTCCTAGTAGGAAGGCCAGGAGCCCCTAGTAGCTACTTGTTACCAGGGGCTTAAATACGAGTATGTTCGAAGGTCTGTCAGAAAACGAGGCGGGAAGTGATGAAACTGCATGATACATCAACTTCCGCAAGCTTAAACAGGGAGAGAGAATGCCCCAATCCACAATGGAATCTCCGGGCAAAGACTTTGCGACAGATTTGACTGATGTTTTTTCGGATTCAGAAACTATAACGTCTTCCATTTCAACAGATCAACAACTCTTCGGAAACTATTGTGCACACATTCCAACTAAAGGACTAAGATCCTCCGATTCCGCGAAAGGTGCAAACGAATCTGTTCGAAATTTGGGTTCCACAAATCTGGACAGATGCAGCCCCTGCTCAACACTTTCACCAGCTCCAGAACATGGTCATCATTTCACAAGACTCATGTATTTTCTTATGATGTTTGCTCCAATGCGCACTTGCGGCTTGATGCTCGAGTGACTTCCGCCAATCTGAGGAACAGGTGCAAAGCCAGCACATGTATGCAGACATGTACTGTAATCGCACATTAGCTGAAAAGCATCATCCCGAACAGCAACTTCGCAAAATCGCCATTCAAACTAGATCTTTAAAGGCGCGCCAGACCAGAAACAAAGTCGGGGGAGCAACTGTGCATCAGCAAGGCCAATAAGCAGAGGTTGATCGCAAGGGCGGTCTATTTCGTTTGGAGTGTGCACAAGTAATTCACTAAGATTTGGACAGGTTTTTTGAGTTCCCCCCTCAAGAAGACTGCTGCGCGCAGGTGATGCGTGACAGGAAAATTGAAGAAAAGCTAGCAAATTTGGGCGAGAAGAAGAAGTTCCGCAAGTGGCGCCAAACTCGTTTGACTGGAGAAGCTGTTGTGGAGGAGCTTGTGGCATTGGATATGCTGGTGGAGCGCGGTCCAGATTGGTGCTATGATGGTGACAGTGACGATGAATACACACCCGAAGATGGAGGGCCTCAGGGTGTTGGGAAGGTTGTGGCCTTTCATTCGAAGTCTGGAGAGGCTATGGCGAGTCATGAAAATTGCCCACCACGTCCTGGTTGGGTGAAAGTTCATTGGCAAGTCACCGGTTGGACCCGCAGTTATCGCATGGGGACGCTCGAAAATCCCGAAGCAGTTCCGGAAGCAGAGCTCCAATTCGCTGCAGCCACAACACCACAACAACATGCTCGGGCGCTTCGCGAAGTCCAGAAAGGAGAGCTCCAGTTGCATCACTTGCGGTGCACCTTTGGCTATCGGTGTGGCACAAATTTTCCCCACTACACTCTTTTTGACATCCGCCCAGAAGCATGTGAGAAGGTGGCTGGATTCAAGCCAGGCGATATTGTTGAAGATGAAAAGAAGCAGAGAGCCACTTGTGTTGGCTTGAAGTATCGTGGCGATGCGAAAAAGGTAGATCTTTGGTTTCAAGTTCAAGGCAATGATGGAGCAGGTGTCTATAGACACTCGAATCATGATCGCTCTCTTCGGAAAGTTGGACAGAAGCGTTTGCAAGAGGTGAAACGAGAGGAAGCGGAAGGTGCTTCGGACGGTGAGATTGATCATGATGAGCGTGAATGGGTTGCTGAGAATCTGAAACCAACGCTGAAATACCTATCCAAGTCTTGCCAACAGCTTCACTTTGATGTCCGAGATGAGATCGTAGAAAAGTTTCGCATGCCCTACAAGTCTGGTGATGTTTTGATTGACAAAGGAGATGGGGAGAAGATGACCTGCATTGGAGTGGCCTGTGACCCAATAAGGAAACTCGCTGCACAGAATGGGCGGAGCAGAGGCCAGCGAGTTGTTGGCAGTGTGGCAGAATTGTGGTTTCATCTCGAAACCTCAAGTGGTGCTGGGCTGAATGCAAAAATGCACAAAGCACTAAGTCGATTCCAAGTGGTCCACAATGAGCCAGTGCAGGAAATGCTTGCCGTTGCTGGCGGCGCTCCAGATTCATGGGATAAGGAAACAGCGATTGGCTTGCTTGAAAGTTTGCGGGGGAGTCTCAAATTGGACTTCGTCTTCCCACGGGGCGCCGGAGAGAATACAGCGCTTGAAAAGTTTGACGTTCGCGAAGATGTGGTGCAGAACGTGGTTGGCTTCAAACCGGGCACAGTCTTGAGTCTTCGAGGAGCTCCGGCAGGTACGCGCTTAACTTTGGTTGGTCTTCGGCCCGATCCTGACAATGGGGAAATTTCAGTGTGGTGGCATCACGAAGAGTCTTGAGTGCGTTGGAAGTAAGTAAGTCAGGAACAATTATTTAACATGTGAGCACGTTGGATGCTGGTCATTTCTGACCAGGTCTTTTGTTTAACTTCTTGGAGCATGTGGCATTTCTTGCTTGCTTCTGCTTTATTCTGCTTCATTGATTTTGTCTTAGTCTTCATCGTCCTGTTCTTCTTTTTCTTCTTCTCCTCCTCCTTCTTCTTTTGCTTCTTCTTTCGCTTCAGCAATACAATGTTTGCTTGAAGTTTCATTGGCTGAGGACTATGAGGAAGTGCACGCAGGAGCTGGAATGGTTCCTGGCTGGGAGGATTTGCGGCAATTGATGCGAGACACAGGTGCCTGAGGCCAATATGTAGGCACAACATTCTTGTTCTTGTTCTGAATGCTCGCCAGTTGACTTGCAGACGGGGGACCCCCCTTGCCAGGGCAGACGCCTGCATTCCCTGGACAACTCAGAGTTGATTCAAACTCAACTAGGTTAGCGGTATGCTCCGTTCAAATGAAAATCGGGAAGCTAAAGCTCATGGTCTAAGCACGGTTTTTCACGCTAGGACTGCCACAAAAGAATCAGAAACAATCCCTAGTTCAAGAGGCATGAAATCCACATCGCAACTTTCACATGGCCCAAGGCATTTTATCCACATGAGTCAGCCCAACCCCTCAAAGAGCGGTTGTCACACCCGGCACGTTGACAGTTCAGAAAGTAAGACGGTTCACCCCATAGCGCAGTCTGCTCCACAACAGCCGTGCCAGAAAATGGCCCAAAGCACCAGACATGTTGCCACAGCCACTTACGTCTACGAATGTAAGCTGCAGCCATCAACAAGATCCCTTCTGTCCACCGTCAAAAAGGCCTTTCAGTTGCAGCATCGAAGCTCAAAGAAGTCGATTCCGGCATCGAAAAATCGGTACACCCAGTGAGGGGCCTCCAGCATACTTCACAAAAGTTAGTAACAAGTGCCTTACTAGTAGTAACAAGTGCCTTACTAGTAGTAACAAGAAGCTACTAGTAACAAGTGCCTTACTAGTAGTAACAAGGCTGCTACTTGCCTCTCCATAGGAAAGGGTCTGAACTAGCCGCTATGACTGCTCTTTCTTTTAACACGCGCATGATCATGCAGATGCTGACTGCTACTTTTTGTAAGAGGGAAGGTTTTCTCGAAACTTCCTTTGACTACTTAGCAGAATATGTGTTTTCATTTCTTTAAGTTTACTTTGTTCTTTGATATTGTATAGTCTATGTACAGTATAGACATTTCTGTTTCCCTCTAGGGAATGAACTGAACTGAACCGCCCGCTCCGACACAAAGTACAAGAGACATCAGGAGACTCCCTGTTTTTTTGCTGTTGGACTTTTTGGAGCAACAAGTTGGTGCTTTCACATCCGCTTGGGGAGACACACACACATCCGCTTCTTCGTTTTGCGCGGGTGTCAGGTGAGACGGTGGACCTCAATGAGCTGAAGCAACGAATCAGCGACCCAAGCACAAGGGTACCGATGGGAGGAGGAGGCGAACTAGGAGGAGCTCCAACAGGAGCCTTGGCGAGCAGGGAGGCGGAGGAGGCGGCAAGAACTTTTTGGAGACGTACTTGTACCATCTGGTACCTATTCTTAAGAGCAGCTATATTATCCTTGCAACATTTCTTTTGGCTGTAGCGGGAATTTTAAGGCGGTTTTGTAGCTCTTTTATGTTGTGGACAGTAACAATTATGTAGTGGCACAATGACACGTCCAAGACCCAGGATGAGCATGGTATTAAGCGGTAGGATCTCTTTTTGTTGCAAAGCAGCTTCCAGCAGGCATTCTTGCAGGAGTAGCAAGCGGATGTAAACGGCAGTTGAGTCCAAGAGAGCACTTCCTTAAATGATTTTCTCTGGACTGCCAGGAATGCCCGCAGGGCTGTCGCAGCTATTAGGAGCAGATGGGGAAGCCCGTCAACAGCTTCAAATGCTACAGCAGATGACTGCGCAGCTCTCACCAGCTCAACGTCGTGAACTTGAGCAACAACTTGGAGGACTCATGAGGGCCGGTGTTCTTCCAGGCTCCTGGTAGCTTCTTGCTCCTAGTAGCGATGCCAGGGGCCCCTAGTAGCGTCCTTGCTCCTAGTAGCGATGCCAGGAGCCCGTAGTAGCGTTCTCTTCCCTTGGAGGACTCATGGGCGCATTGATGGGCTGAGAGCGTCGCGAGATGTCGGCGGTCAAAGAATGACTGCACGCATTAATCATTAATCTTTGAGCTCCAGGGTTGGCGTTCAGACGACTCGAACAACAGTGTAATTACATCGTCCCATGTCCGTCTTTTTGTCGCATCTCCACCTACTAGCAGCCTGCTACTCGAAGCAAGAACACAATTCAATTCTCTTTTATCTTGTTGTTGTTGAATTTGAGCAAACCATTCTGGGGCCAAATTACCTGTGTTGTTCGCCAAAGGCAGAACAGCCCGCTGCAAGTGTGTCATTGGGAGCCAACTCACTTGCAGCATCCGGTTTGTTTTTTAGCATCCGGTTGCGCGCATTCCCCCAAGCTCGCCAAAGAAGCAAGGACAGCCAAAGAGCCCAGCCACCGCCGAGAAACATTCTTTGTACATGGAATCCGCATAGCTCATTGTCTTTTTTGGCTTAAAGATGTTCTAAACCTACTAATTAGCAATGGCCTCCAACCTACTAGCGATGTTTAGCGATGGCCTCCAACTGGTTCATTTTTGGTTTAAACATCACGAAATAGGTAGCCTGGTAAGGGCTAGCTTGAGTTTGCTTTGCGAAGCAAAGGGGTTAGCTTGAATAACAGCTTGCTCGGGACCGAATATTGACATATCAATTCTATTGACACCCCCTCCAATGTGATGAATATGAGATAAATCAATTTTTTTGGTGACCACCCCTACCTACTAGCGTGACGTCCATTCACCGGCAGTAACAGCAGTCGCACGACACAGCTTCGATGCAGTGCGTAGCTCTTACACATGCCAGCGTTTACGCGCCGCGTTTCTTTACGCAAGCCAGCGTTCACACACCAGCGTCGAGGCAACACAGCCTCTACGCAAAGCGGCGTTAACAAACCTCACCACACCACATGCCTAGCAACCTCTCGCGACCCAGGTCACTCTTATATGCGGAGCGCGCGCGCGCCCGCGCACAGTTTAGCACCACGGCTCTCACATACACTGTTGACAAGCCTCCCGACACCACACGTTCTAGCAACCCCTCCGACAGCCGACATAAGCCCCTTCTTTCACACACCACACTTGATACACCTCTCATGTATTCCTGGTACCTCTGACTCTCTACCTTTCGTGTTTCCCTGTCTCAAGTTTTCTACAGGATGCAATCATATGCAGGTTGGAGGCCATTCGTATTAGGTTTTTCAAAAGTTTGTGATTAGGTTGGAGGCCACTGCTTCTAGTTTGGAGGTCATCGCTCTTCAGGTGGATCAGGTTGGAGGCCATTCCTATTCATTCATGTAACCAAATCACCTCGATTGACCAATCCTTTCGAACGATCCGATGGCTGGTTTGGTCCTTGGAGCCCGAAGTCTGACAAAGTCAGGCTGGCTGACGTTATGCGGAAGGCGGAATCGTTGGAATCGGAGCGATTGGAGAGAGCGATTGGAATCGGAGCATCAAAAAAGCGAAGAATGCAATGACTTCAGACTCGCGCGGAGCCCCTAGTAGCGTCCTTGCTCCTAGTAGCAAGGCCAGGAACCCCTAGTAGCTTCTTGTTACTAGTAGCGATGCCAGGAGCCCCTAGTAGCGTCCTTGCTCCTAGTACGCATTGCTTGTGAGAATGATAAGCGCAAAGTGCCTTTCACTGACAGTCTCTTGCACCTCCTGGCTCGATTGCGAATTTGTGTGACCTCACTGAGAGATCCAACGTCAAGGAGACAAATCGTCCGAAGTTGAAAGGTTGACGTTGCTTCAACAAATGGCAGGTTAAAGCAACAGGCCATTTAGACTATGAAGTGGTCGCTGAAGCTCCTCTGGCGAACCCAGCCGGGAGCCCATCTCCGTTGTGACCATTTTTGAAGAAATGAGAGATCGGAAGTCACTTGCAAGAAACTATCCTTTCTTCTACTAATCGGGTTACTTTCCTATTGGTCACTTGTATACGTCATTCCATCAGATCATTTTGTCACGGCTGGGATCGCTCGAAGTAGAGTGGGGCAGCTCTTCTCGGACATGCTATTTCTTCAAGCGGCCAGGCATGCCAACGCTCTTCCCAGAGAAGATCGGCTTGCCGAAGCCCTAGTTGTTAGTTGGTAGCGCTTTGAACCAGTCGATGTTCCTTGTCTTGTGAATTGGTGCATGCAGTACAAGAACTTCAAACCAAACCTGCAACGAGGCCGAACGGACCCCTGCTGCGAAGGCCTTCGGAATTGCTAGCCGCTTACCAAGCAGGCGTGGCTCACGAGGACAGGCGGCGAGTCCTTAATGCTTTCACCCCAAACTGTTTGCTGGTGGCTGCGCAATCGTTTTGTTGGGCCTCCTCGGCATCGGACATTCTTCACCCAGGATCAGCGTAGCGTGAACCTCGTCATGGTGGTCGTGGCAGTTGCGGCGGTTGTGGTTGTGGCTGCGGCGGCCCTGGCCGCAGCTTGCTGCCCACAGAGGGAAGCCAGACCCTGAGCCTTGGGTGGTGGCGGGAGAGCCAGCAGAGCGCGACATAGAGTCACAGGCCTTTGTTGAGGGCCTTTCAGGCTTAAACGGGCCACGCAGCTACAAGGAATCAAAAAATCCATTCTCTGGCCCTTCAGCAAAAACCATCAGAGAAACATCATGAAACATCAAATGCGCAGAGATCAAATGACAATATGTGGCCGTACATCAATCCTTCCACCTGTCCATGACGGCCACCAAAATCATACCACGCTATTGAGACGTTTTCCGAGTGCCCGATGTTCCACCGAGTTTTTGCGGGCACTGAGTCACAGACCTTTGCTTTTTTCCTTCGCCAGGTCCTGAGAATCTTAAGTGAGATCAGCGCTGATCTCCGCCGTGAACGTGAAGAGGCAGCACAGACTACTAGTTCTGATGTTGCTGTGCATTTTTTAAATGGATCCTTAGACATGTTTGCGCCTAGGGACTGAAAACCGGACCCACTTTTCTGACATTTTTGGACTCCACGAGGCTTGGTCATGTCATCGCATGGTGTTGGTGGGGTGGGGGGGTGGGGTGAGGGCCAAATTCCCCGCAGTGGAGCATGTAATACATAGTATCCGTGGATTCAACTCACAGTCCAGCGAGCGAGTGAGCGAAGGCGATCGAGCGGCTGTTTTCACGCGCACATACCTTGAGCCAAATGTTATCAATGCATTGCGTAAGAGCATATCGCAAGATACTGTAACCAACGTGAAGCAATAGCGTAAACGGGAGCCCAAAAACAGAGAACATGCGGGGGGGTGTTGTAATTTCGTTCTTGTTTTCACATATACGTCTCATGAGCATGAAGGCTCAAGACGTAGCCACGGTGTGCGCTTTAGTTTTGTTGTTTCGGTTGTCGGGTGTTCCTTGTCCTCCTCGTTTTTGTGTTTTCTTCCTTTGTGGTGCGTCAGCCCTTTTTCTTTAGACCAGTACGTAGACGGCTTAACTCGTGATTGCTCTGACCCTTGAGTTTCTTTTGTTCACGAAACAGGTTTGGGTTCAGATCGTGGCTGGGTAAACTGGTAACTGGGGGCAGGTGTTAGAAACTCGTTTTTCGTTGTTCACACTTTGGTGCAATGTGTGGTTGAGGTTTTTCTTTTTCGAAAAACAGAAACTAAGTCCTTTTCTGTTGGTGACTGTTGGTGTTTTTTTGGCGTTTGTTGCGTAGTTGTAGCAGCTCCATGTCGGATGGGTGCGCCGCCGCTGATTTGCTCGACAATGGCATCGACGAAAAAGACTTGCGCTCGGAGCCTGACTGGGGACAGCTAGTTACACAAAAAACAGGCAACTTGAGGTGTCGCGAAAAGGCCGTTTTTTATTTCGGCAAAACGCATGACAAAGCACTGCGTTTACCAATGAATTTGACATGAGAACCTGCAAAAGAGGGTACGGTTTCCAATCCGTACGGATGTTTGTTGATGTGTTTGTTGATGGCTGGAACCAGCAACAGCAACTTGCATGATGTTGCAGGACATCACGGAATCGGATTCATGAATGCACCGATCGCGCAAATCAGAAAACCGCACGCCTTTTTACGCGCAGGTATACACGTTTCGGCTGCTCATCATGTTTTCAGCGTGTTGTCAAAATGGCCTATAGATCGATACAATTGTTGTCGCTCTGCAACGGCGATTGGGAGTGGAGGCAGCGCCGTGTCCTGCGGTCGGTGAATTCACAACCATCCGATACCCCCGGAGAAGGCAAAAGTTTGACAAGAAACATCGGCGTCTGATCCCAAATCCCTGCATGGTTGCTCCTCTGCCAGGTCGGGCCTGCTTTGGCTACTCTTCGCGCCGACCTTGATGCGGTTTTATGTTATCTTCAGGGTAGTTGGAGCTAGATTCAAGGTAGTTGAACCTGAGATGTTGGGTAATTGTCCTAACCCAAGACCCACCCCAGCTGCCGGCTGCCACTGGCCACTGCGGGCCACCGCCGGCTGCTGCCAGATAGGAAGAAGGCACGCCTGAGCGCGCGGGTACCGATGTGGGAGGCGAGGTCTCAGGGAGAAAAATTGCAGGTTTTCCCTATATAGATTTGCCCTCTGGAGTCTTGGATGGATCCTTTGGAGAAAAGCATGTTCAGCAATGTCTTAGGCTCAACATGGCGCCCCACAATCTAGAGTTAGCGCAGTCGCTATCGAATCGCAATGCCACACAGTCTGAGAGTCTGGCTCTTCATTAGCTGCGGGGCCAACCCAGCAGCCAGCTGCAGCAAGCAGCATTTCGACGCCAGCTGCGGGAACAACCGCTGGCAAGCAGCAGTTCAGCGGCTGGGGGGGGAAGCAATGACGACTCCAAAAGGCGGCTGCTATGTGCTCCAAAGGATCCATCCAAGACTCCCAAGGCCAAAGCGGGTCCAAAGGATCCCAAACCTCCCAAAAACCAAAGGGAACTCTCACACGCAGGTCTCCCAAACTCCAGGAAACTCCTCAACTTCTGGGCGGACTTTAGTCAGGAATGAAGGAATGAGTCTGAAACGGACCAGGAAAAGTATGATAATAGAAAGGCTGAGTCTGGCTCAAGATGGAAAAAAGTTGGATGACGAAGATAAATGGCTCAAGATCAATCATGATCATGGAAAAAGATGTTGAGCCTTGTGCTCAACAACAAGTTTGACAAGGGGGGGGCAGGT